TATTATGGAAGATGGAGATGATTCGAGATTTATAATTTAACTGATATGTATAATTGTGTTTTTTAGGGGAATATTATGATTTTTTCATCTTTTCTCTTACTTTAATTAGTAAGCTTTATATCAGATTCATCCTTGTTAATACTTAGACAACTCGATTTAGAAATATATGAACATTTTGAGTCATTATTTTTAGTGAGTTCTTAATATTTTTGAAGTCTATAGTCAATTCTCGTATAATTTGTTCCAAGAAATGCCATTCATTAAAGAGGAAAAGTTGACAGATCCAATAACTACTACCTTTATCAGATGTAGAAAGGGAAAAATAACCATATTATTTATTTAAACATCTTTCCTACTTAGTTAAATATAAACATCAATTAAACTATTGAAAAAATGATTCCCATTATAAATTTATTATCATCAAACAAATCTATTATGCATTTTTGGAAGTTCACTTCAAACCTGTTTCATCAAATAACCTTCTCCGTATGATAAAAGACCTTATGGCTTTGTAAAGTTTTTTTGAGGACTTTTTGATGAAGTCATCATAGAGAAAGAAAATTAAAATAGAATACTTTTATTAGTAATATTTTTAATTCCTAAAGAGTTTGAAAATCTAAGTAGTTGATTAGTGAGAGATTCTTTGATATTATGAAAAAAATTAGTGATAGAGTTTTTTACATTATAAAAATATCATGAGATTTAGCTGTTTCGCCACAAAGGGAATTGATAATATTTTACCGTAATAAATAAATTGAAAAAAGTATCATAAGAAATGTAAGAAAAACAGGAATCAGCTTGAATATTAATCAAATAATTAAAAATGATTGAATAATTATTTAAACTTAACACACTAATATTAGAGTAGATATTAAGGCATTTTCAATTTTACAAAGGTTGAAAAAAAAAAAATTCAACCTGCTGCGAATGATTGTATCTGACATATTTACATGGAATAGTTATCTTATCATCTTCTTGTTAATTGTTAGTTCTTGGATTTAAAATAATTTGTATAAAATATGATGTTTATCATGTCTAAGTTTTTATAGTTAGTTCCTATTTTTACTAATTATGTATCTAATAAATACTATTACATAGTATTCTTTTTTCTACACTCTTGTTTCAACTCATAAGGTTTAGCTTAAAATCAATTAATTTGAATCTAATAAGTGGAGACTTATTATTTAAAATATTTGAGATTAATAAATAATACTCTTTTATTGTGTTTTTTGTAATGAAAATACGATTAATAAAATATAACATTCAATATGATTTAGTTATATAGATTTCGTTCAGCCAATATAACATTATCATTTTCAAAAATATCATTCAAAGGTGAAAGACATTTCTATTTTCGAAGCTGAAAAACCAACTGCTTTGTAACCTTAGATATCAAAACAATAATGAAGATGCATTAGTTGAGCAACATGAATATTAGTATTAATCGTAACTACCAAGATGATTATTACCATATAAAGAGAGGAAGTTTTCTAATTTCAAGGATCTTTCATCATGAAATTATTAGCTTTCCAAAGAATCTAAAATTTCAGGCGCCATTAATCCCACTTCTTTGAATGAGATATTTTAACCGTTAATTTGACGCACAAATCAAATCTGCCAAATAATATCATTATTATTCTCATTTTTTTTTTAGTAATAAATTTTCAGAATTAAAGTTTGATTTACTATTTTGAATTAATGCAAATGATTCAATGCTGAAAATAATTTATAAGCCAATGTTTAAAGAGTTTCAGCTGGCAGAAGGCCTAATAATTACTGAATTGAAAACCTGTTTCTCTTACTTCTTATAAAATTTCACCTTCACTTATTATGTCAATTACAAAGTACACAAAGCTAGTTGTTTCTTAAGCTTCATTTAACTTAGCTACGGTTGGATGTGTTTGATTTAACAAGCTCTTAATTCTTATATGTTGCTCTTACATTATGGATTTGCTAAAACTTCTTTTACCTATAATTTTAAAACAATAGAAAGATATTCAAACCTTTTTGATTGATACGTCAATTTGATTATATACTTCACTTCATCAGAATTTAATTAAACCATGGAATTAGCTCCAGAGTTGATAAAGCTAAAATGCATTATAGCTAGAGGTGTCATTTTAAATTATTGACAGTAACTTAATAAAGATATACTAATCCAAGCACTATAATTATTGGCTTGACTCTTCCTTCCAATCTGTCACAATTCTTACTCAATTAAAAAGATTAAGACTTATATAGTATGATCGATCATAGTGCACCAGGGCAGATTTTCTATAAAATTATCAAGTTTATTTATAGTTTTTCCAAAATCAAAGTCGCAAACAACTTTTTATTCAGTCATTCTTAATATTGCTACTCCAATAATTTGTTTCCTCCTCTATCTTAACAGAGAAATCATCCTCCTTAGCCTTTGAGAGTATTTAATTAAATAATACAATCTGCTCGTCTATAAATCATCCATAGTGATTATTACACAATTTTGATATAAAGGGAAACTTCAAAATTCTTAAATAGAGAAGATTTAAAATAGTTAAGGATTTCTCAACCTGATCCAAGTTAGGAACATGATCTTAGATGGCCTTAATTTCATTTTTATTTTATCTTTTTAATTTATTTATAGATCCTTTGCTAAAATTCTTAGATTTTTTTTAAAATTCTAAAATTTACGATTTTTACTTTCAAAACTTTCCTTTATCCATTCACCCTAATCCTTAAAAATTAAGAATAGCCATAAATTTCATATTAATCATGCAAACATATCTTTGGAATTTTAGTTTGGATATAAAATATTTTACTTACATTGGTAAGATTATTTCAGCTATGTTATCACAATATACTCTAGCACTCTTATTTCTTTCCTACAAGTTCAATTTTATTCTACACTTAAAGCATCCATGATTATCCAAATTTCATCAAATCTAGCCTATTTTATTAGGCACACTTTTGACCTTTCAAACATCTTCTATTACTCTTATTAAAACAACCGAAATTATTCTTCTCCATAGATTAGGCTTGATTTTTAAATATATCCTTTATTTTCTCATTCTATAATTGGACTTCCTATTCAATTTTGCAAGTTATAATTAAAATATAGTTTCTTTTCTAGAATTCTTCGCATATTCCCAATTATTGCTAATCGTTACTAAGTAGGATTTGTCATCGCATTTGAAATTTCGTTATAGAAGGTTTTGGATCTCATTCTTTCTAATTGTTATTGACTATGAGATCTTGGAGTTATCGAAGGTGATACTGAGTAGCTATTAGATTTTTGCTTCTCTAATAAAAACTCTTGCCTCTGATTTTGAACATTTTAACTTCAGGTTTAAACATACTGTAATTTATTCTGGTGATTCTAATCATAATAAGGACCATCACAACCTAATCAGAAATCTTAATCATCTGAGTATTGAGATCTACTATTTCTATCTGAGTGTATGGATTATTTTATTTTGATACACCTGAAGACACCTCGTGGATTCATAAATTATCAAATATAACATCAAATTTAAATTTAAAAAAATTGATCCAGATTATTCTTAACCTCAGAATCTAATAATTAGGTTATTCTAAAACTTCGTTCTTGTTGATCATTAAAACACAATTAATTCCTTGCCATACTAAATCTAATTAATGTAGAATTATCATTGCCATTATTTCTGGCCTGATAATGGTAAAAATCTGCTGTTGCAACATCTAACAAAAGCTGTCTTCCATTATAAATTAATTTTTAATTATACTTGTTAATATATAACTAAAAATTACAGTATCATACATAAATTAGTTGATGTATCATTAATATTTTCGAATAAAAGCGGTGGCTTTAATATGGGATACTTCATTTCATATAATATATCATTTAAGTTATAATAGTTGATTTGGTTATAATCTAATATGATGTAATTCTTGATTCCAAAAATTATAGCCCTCGATCATGTTAGAAGAATTGTTGGAGGTTGAGATTTTGGGATCAAACTTTTGATTATGAGATCTACGTTAAACTGTACAACCTTGACTTTATAAAATTAGACTTCAATCTAATCTTTTGTTCGATTTCTTTAGGTTTGAATTAGACATTATTTCCTTTTTCATTTTCTGTAGAGCATATAATATCTATATTTTTGGATCCTTTTCAATTTAGCTTATTCTTTTAAGACTAAATATTAAATATGGTTTTTATATAAAATTTTGAATTTGATAGGTTCATTTCTATATTATTATCAAATACATCATCCAAATCTATACTAATACTAATGTTATTTAAATAAATCAGATTGTTTTAATTCCAATCTATCTATAATGTTAAAACACAAAATTGAAATAGTTCTAAAATTGTTATAAAAGTAATTTAGTGGTTAGCGGGAGAGACTGAATAAAGCGATTCTAATGGAGTTAAACATAAAAATTTAATGATGAATTCAAATCACAAATTTAAGAAGAAATTAGGTTAATCATCTTAAGATGTTTATATTGATTGCATTCCATCAAATTAAATATTCATAGATTTTTAGATACCAACTATACATCTGATGCATATTGAAAGTAAAAATACAGCAAGTTGATTATTTTATATCATTTTCCTTTAAATCAAATTTAAAGTTTCAAGCAAATCTTTATATAAATTTTGCAATATTATTTCAAATCCTATTCTATTTTGATGAAATTCAGGTTAAAATTATCAAATATTTAAATCATATAACAATTAACACATTGTTTATCACAAAGTGTTAATCGCAGAAGAAAAACATCAAGTTGAGACAATATACAGATAGGGAGCTTGGTTTTAATACCTTCACTTAATTTCAACCAATTGGTGCTATTTTTTGGACATTATATGACAGTTGGTACCATTTATTCAGTTCTGTTGTGAAATAATCTGAAGGCATTAACACTTTGCATTATGATTGTTAAGACTATTGGTAAATGACAATAACGAAATATCTTAAATTTATTGGTAACAATGATAATTATATAGTTTTGAATTAAACATAATCCATATTAAAATGAAATCAATGGTATTAATCCGAATTTATATTATTTCTTTACAAAAATAAGTTGACTCATAATTATGAAAAATGAAGCAGTCTTTAAATAGAAAATTTTGCATTTCTTACTTTTTAAAGGTGAAATAAGAATATATAAAATTGGAGGTGATTTGATAGTTATATATTCAAAACTACCTATTAACTAAAGGAGATAAATTTGAAACATTTCCAATTTCATACTATAATAAGATGTTGGATTTGTCTAGTCTGCACTCAATTAGGGCTTTTTGGAAGCTTATAAATTTAAATTTGACTTATTATTTATTTTATTTGAATACAGAAATCATTAAAATTTAATAAAAAGAATTAGAATTAGAATTAAACTTTATCTATAAAAGTCATACAATAAGTGAAGCAATAAATAAGGTTAGGTATATCATAATATATCAATTTATACTTCAAAATTACGGAATTGCAATTAATTGGATTTACATTAAAAAATGGAAATCGACAAGGAAAATGATATTTTCGTTTATTAAATTGACTTAGCAATTATGTAAAATCCTTAATTATAGAACTAAAATTATCTCCTTTATCTTCTAACATCAAACCTTATTGGTAAATCTGGCTATCCATAAATTTTTTGAGTAAATTTATAGAAATATGGATTATTTTTAATATAGTTTACTTAAAATGAATTCCAGTTTGATGATAAATACTCTGAGCCTTAGGTTACCCTTTAAAATTTTGAAGCAAGTTCAAGTTAACTAATTAATAAACGAAGAATCCATATGCACAAAGCTAACTTTTGGCTATCAAACAAAAAATTAAGATTGCTTTTACAATGAGCCTATTATTAATATTTGTAATTTTTGTAATACAATTTATTTAACTTGTCAGTTAAGTAAATTCGTAGAATAGTTTTTGATTAGTTCTTGGAACTTAGATATTTTCCTAAAAAATTAGTCATAAAGTGCAAATCAAATCTTTATAATTAATACCTTTTAAAATAATTGGATTTATTCTAATTATTTGTAAATATCAAAATGAATGATAAGTTTTCATCTTTTAGATACTAGTGCAATAGCAAAATGAATCTTCATTTTTCTATTTATAATTGTAATTGAAATATATGAATATAACATTTACAAATTTTTTAACACAATAAACCTAATTTCATTAAGTAACAATCTATTTGTACAAAATATCTACATTGCAAATGAATTTTTTATTATAAATCTGTCCTACCTCTAAAATATATTTCTGCTACAATAACTTACTTAGAATACATCTAAGATTAATGATTGGAACTTAGGTTCTATTTATTGATTAAAATACAGATTTTCATTTAATTTGAGCCTATTTAAATATTTATCTCAATAATAATTAGTAGAGTTATATAATTAAAATTAACAGTGTATTAATTAAATTCTTTATAAAAAAAATAATTTATTAAATATTTGATGATGAAATAATTAGTATTATGAACTTGTAAAAGGTAGAACCAGGTTACTGGTATAAATAATTTTTTTTAATTTTTATTTAATAAGATATTTAGAGTTATTTATATTTCAAAAAATCAAGATTATTTATAAGAAAGCTATTTGTCAATTTTGCTGCAAATTCTATATATAGCACTTTAATTATAAAAATAATTTAATTATATATATTATTGAAATTTCTAAATATAGAAATCTACGAGTTAGTATTAATTTATATCAAACCTTGTTTGTCTCATAATTTCTTAATCAATTATTTTTGTTTTCATGTCTAACTACCTGTTAAGAATCTGCCTTATTTTAACTTATTGTATATGTAAGGAAAGCTTATTGTATTTTAGTATCTTGGAGTTGCGATCCAGGATAATTTAATAATAATGGTTCATGTGTGAATTGCATACCTAATTGCTTGAGTTGTTCCAATAATTATGCTTGTAACACATGTTAGCCAGCCTTTTATGTTTATCCTCTAATCTAAACATGTAAGCCATGCTAAAAAGGGTGTTAGGTTTGTACTCAAATCTCTTGTTCCACATGCTTTCCTTTGTATTAAAAATTATCCTGCTCAGTCTGTTATCCCGGATTTTACTAATCTGGCATATCTTGTTCGAACTGCCCTACTTAATGTGCTACTTGTACATCTAATTATGTATGTTAAACTTGTGTGGATCACTATTTTCTTGTTGAATCTTTTTGCTTAATTTGTGATGCTTCTTGCTAGAATTGTTAAAATACTCCTACTACTTGTACATCATGTGGCCTTGGCAAATATCTTTCTGGGTCATCGTGTCTTCCTTGCTCATCACCATGTTCAACTTGTGAATAGAATTAGAATCGCTGTTTAACTTGTGTGGATCCTAATTAAACAGTCGATGGTTTGTATTAATGTGTTTGTAACTCGGGTTGGATTTTAGATATAAATGGTAATACATGCATCTAATGTTAATTACCATGTTTTAATTGTGTAGATACAATAAACTAATGTACCGCATGCTTAGATTCATTATATTAATAACCTGAAACTTGTGAATGCGAACCAGGATGGATAGATTATATGAACTATTTTTGCATTCCTTGTTAATAACCATGCAAGACTTGCTAAAATTTTACATTCTAATGTCTAACATGTTTGGATGTTAACCATGAGTTAAACTACTTATCATAATGTGTTTGTAAATCTTCCTATTATCCTGATACTCTAACAACATGTGCAAAATGTTCAGAGTCTTGCAAAGAATGTGATCAAAATGGTTGTATTAGCTGCATTAGTGTAGATCAAATCTTAGATCCAAACAATATTTGTGTTTGTAATCCTGGATTTGTTTTAGTCGGTAATCAATGCATTCTATCTTTATGTGGTGATGAAAAAGTGTCTTTAGCTGAGGAATGTGATGATGGAAATATGATCCCATATGACGGATGTCACGAATGCAAATTTTCATGTTAATTATAATGTGATGATTGCATTTAAGGGATATGTTATGGTTGTATTGATACAGGTTGGATACTTAATTAAATTAATATTTGTACTCCTTAATGTGGAGATGGCGTTGTTATTGAAGAATATGAATAATGTGACGATGGCAACGACACACCTTACGATGGTTGTTATTAGTGTTAATTTGAATGCCCAGAAGGCTGTATTCAATGCTAATCAAACCAATGCCAAAAATGTCATCATTTTTATGTATTAGACATTAAAACAGGTAATTGTTTCAAATAAAACAATGATAATGATGACTAATATATAGAATTTGCAATTCTCTAGCTTGAGTAAATGACGAATTTCAGATGCGGTGATAATCATGTAATTATTAATAATACTTGCGTTCATAAGTGTGGCAATGGATTAAGAGATGGCCAATATGAAGAATGCGATGATGGAAATTTATATGGAGGAGATGGCTGTTCTTCTTTTTGTTTAATAGAGAGTTCATATTAATGTAGAGATTAGGAGAACTCTATAAGTTTGTGCACATATATTAAAGCTCCTGAAATGAATTTGAATATTCTAACTAATAATGCCAATTCACTTCAAGTTTTAGAGTTGACTTTTACTTCATAAGTCTAATTGGAAGAAGCTGTGAATTTCGAAGATATTGTAGCATTCACTATTAAGCCTTAAACTCAATACAAATTAACAATTAATTGTATTTCAAATATTACAATTTAATTAAGCAATCCTAAATATTAAATTTAAATTGAATTCATTGAACCAGTATAAAATCCTGTGTTAGAAGTTGTGATGCAGAAAAATATTATTTATAACTAATTTTAATTAGGCTTAATAGAAAATGAAAAAAAATTTAATCTTGGTGAACCCTTTGTGCTTCCAGAAACCACTAAGTAGTAGTTAAGTAATGTAGTTTAACTTAATGATGCAATGATGTACTCAATGGCTGGTGTGTCAAGTTTAGCTTTAGTAACAGGAAATACAATTGTGTTTTTTAATTTACTCGATTTATTATAATCATTCTCATATTTAAGGTTTATGTAGTCAGAATTTCCACCACATTTAAGAGATTTTTTGAATACTTATACTAAGGTCTCGTTGAAACCAATTTTAAATTATTTGTAAATAGATTAATTATTGGAGGATTTAAATGGAAAAAGTAAATCAGATTAGGTTAATAGTAAATTATAACCAGACTATGAAATCATTTTAAATTAGCCATATTTGTTCAATGCAAAAAGTTGCTATTTTTCTGCCCTTGCCTCCATTTTAACCTATTTACTTTATTGTGCTTTACTTTCAAATACTTTAAGAAATTTCATCTTCAAATGGTTTTAAAAATACCCAGATAATACCAAAATTATCAAACTTATCCATCTATTTTAAAAATATATTCAGAAAAAGTTTTAAAAATAAAAAATGGAATATTTTTCATTAGGAGTTTTTCAAGTTTATTAAGCTATTCTGCATTAGTTAACGTTTAGTGTATTGCTATAATTTCCCTGTTATGTGTTTGATTCTCCTTTTGCAATTCTCAATAGTTTGAATGCTATTTTAGGATTAGGGTTCATTATAATAGCAAACTTTCCTTTACTTTCAATTACTACAATAAACATAAAAAATTAAAGAAAATGGAAGTATTTCTACTCTGAATCTAAAACTTAATTTTGGGCAGGTTAATTTAAGTCTTTTTAAATATACAAAATCATATTCTATATTTTCATTATTACAGAATTAATCAACTATCCAGAAGCATAATCAATCCTACTCTCTATGCAATCGTTGTTTTTTTTGATATACTTAATTAGATTCAAACCATTAAAATCTTTTTTGGAACTTACTAAATTAATTTGTAAAGAGTTTGTATTTATGATTATTTCAGGGACTTTTTTATTTTATAGCTTTGAATTCAGTTAAGAAACTTTTATTCTCATTGGTTGGATCCATATAAGTCTGTTTTGTGTTATTATGGCATCAAATTTATTTATAGATATATTGTAATAAATCAAAACAAAGTATGAGACTTATTTATTAAAAAAACAAAAAGAAGGAAGTGAGTAAGGATCTAAATTGAAATTATGTAATGTGCAAGGATTTTCGTTAAATGAGCGTGATTAATATATATAAAAATGATATATAGTTGTAATTAACTAAGTTTCAAATTAAATTCTATAAAATGTAATTATAATTCACATTAAGATTTGTTGAAAATATAGGAAAACTGCTAAATTATTAGTTTAATGAATTTAATGTTGTCTAGTTATCGATTCATTAATTCAATCAATAAAAAACTAATTTATATTAATTAGATAAGTTGTTAAATTTCAATAATATTAATTATTTTATCTTTTAATTTTATAATTCAGGAGAAAATAAACTAAGAATACTAGCCCTCTCAACAGACTAATTATTTTAGTATCCAGTCTATGGCTGGCCAACTTTTTAATGCCTTTTTGACATCTTCTACTATGCCCTTGACAATTTGTAAAAATTTAAAGCTCCTTAAGCGTTGAAATGTGGAGTAGGAAGGAGAGTTAAAGAGATCGATTAGTTCCTTTAAAAGGTATTTTTCTAATATTGGTTTAATTACCTGACAACCTGAGTATCTATAGTCTTCATTTGATTCTAGGGAACAAAATACAGTCTCAGAAAATGACAAAAATTAAAAAGGATTTATTAAATATACGAATAAATGAAAAGATAATTTGAGACTTTTAGAAAAGCGCTAAATTGAAACCAAAGTCAGACACTAAAGCAACACAGACAAAGATGAAGGGAATAATATAGAGATAAAGAATAATAAGAGGTACCTAAAGAAGCCTAAAGGATATCTTTATCACAACCCCTTTTTTGTT